GAAACAAGAGACCCAAAGCCCTGCCTCTGGCCTTTATATGCAAACGCACTGTTGTGCACCTCTGTATATGTGTGTGCATGCAACACACACACACACCACACACACTGAAAGAAATTCAAAATCATCCTCAGCTTCATATAGAACTCAAGACCACCCTGGGCTACAAAACATGAGAGCCTGGAGATCCTGCCTCAAAAAGACACACATGTGCGCACACACACACACACACACACACACACACACGGAGTGGGGGAAGGGCTTTAGAGATAGTTCAGCAGTGAGGCACACTTGTTGCTCTTGTAGAGGAGCCAGGTTCAGTTCCTAGCACCCACATGCTGGTTCACAACCACTTATACCTTCAGTTCCAGAGGATGGGAAGACTTCTGACCTCCTCAGGCACCAGGCACGCATGTGCAGCACACACATACCCATGCAGGCAAGACACTCGTATGCATAAAATCAATTAAAAATGTTTCAATCAATTAATGAAAACAACAGCAGCAAAGCTGAAGACCAGCTTGCGCTACAAAAGACTCTGTCTCACGCCCCCTCCCTCCCCTCCAATCAAAACAGCCTGTTTCCAGTCCTGGCAGGCTCTGCAGCTGGCCACAGTAAGCAAAACTTTTAAGGGAACCATTTAAGTTTTTCCTCCTGGCAGCTTCTTGCAGTGGCCAAAGAGCATGAGGCTAGGGCCTAGTGTTCCTAGCCGGGCTATTGTCAGTCGTGAATGAGATAAAGTAGGTCAGAGTGCTTGCAGGCATTTTAAACATCACACACTGCTAGGCCTGTATTAGGGGGGGAGGGGGTGTGCTCAGAATTTCCCTATTCCCTTCCTTTCCTGGAAGGGAAAGGGATACATGAGAACATTCATGCCTACTCTATCTGTAAGAAAGGATTCGAATCCATCTATTTAAGACTGCCGGTGAGACGGCAGAGTTTCCGAGCCGAATGCTGCATGTGTCATTGTCCCCATTAGAAAATTAACTCAAGATTTAACTACCAACTGATGTGACTGACTTTTAAATAAACACATCTAAATGGATGTTGGCCCATCCTGACCAGTAAGTAGTCACCTTGGCAAGCAAAGCCTTTATTTAAATTATATTTGCCATCGCTCAAAAGAAAGCCTTCCCCCCCCCCCCATAACGCCTCTTTGGAACTGTTGCTGAAGCCTCTGGCACATTCTTTTGAATATGTCTGAGGGTGACACATTTTTGTTCTTTGTGGATAATCCTGATCTTTGTAAGCAGGCCAAAGTTACTTGGCACAGAGACTGGTAAATACGCTAAGTAATACCGTTGTTTTTTTTTGTTTGTTTGTTTTTGTTTTTGTTTTTTTTTCAAAAATTACACATAAACCATGACTACAAGACAGAAGTCTTTCAGCTCCTGAAGGACTGCGAATTGACTTCAAGGGAGAGAGCAGACAGAGAAGGGCTCCATCCTTGGGCTTGCTCTAAACTTTGACCTTCCAGAAAGAACAGTGCAACTACTCAAGTGTCCCTATCATTGTAACCCAGTTTGGAGGGGGGTGAGGGGGAGGGCGGGGCAGGCCCAAACCACTCTTTTGCATATAGATTAACCGGCTGGTTTCAATAGCAACCTTTCCTAGGAATGAACATTTAGATCTGTTAGAAACAGCATCCAGCAGGCTCAATTCTAACAGGTAGGCTCTGCCTTCCCTTAGAAGTTGGGCTATTTTATTTTTCCCTCTAAGAAAAACACGGTGACTGGAATATTGCCAGTGCCACGACAGTGTAAATGGAGGCAGCCGCTTCTTCTGCAAATCACTGACACCGCCATAGTTTAAACACAATGGCGCTGCTATTCACCACAGGTTGCACACTGCAGCGTTCTCATTCATTACATGCTACAGAGTGGCCGTTTCTTTCATTAATGCTACAGACTGTGGCACTTCCAGAACTTCGGCCTCAGCTGATACCACGTATCATTTATGTAACAAAGCTTTTCCTTTATTCACCTTTGTTTTTTCTTCCTTAGTGAAATTCACCTTACATATGAATGGTTTGGGTGATTTCACATATGCAACTCAGCACTTGGTACAGTCACAATGGTCTGTCACCATCACCATCTGGTTTCCAAACACTTTTGTCACCCTCAAAGGAAGCAATCCATTAAGCACTCCCACTTCGTCCCTGCTTCTGAAGGCCTGGCAACTACTACTATGCTTTCTGTTTCTGTGGGTTCACCTAATCTTGGACATTTCACAGAAACCAAACCATACGATATGTGCCTCCCACACTCAGGGTGATATGTTCAAAGTTGATTCTTGGAACATGTATCAGTGTATGTGTGGCGTATGGTCACATCTGTAGGGGTGCGTGTGTACATGTGAGTGCACATTATTCGTTGAGACAGAATCTCTCACTTGAATGCAGAGCTTGTTGATTTAACTAATCTAGCTGGTCAGCGTGCTCTGGGAATCCTGTCTCTGTGTTCCAAGCCACTATGGCCACCTGGCATTTTCGTGGGCTCCGAGAGATCCAGACTACAGTCCTCATGTTTGACTGTCGGGCGCTTTAAACACCGAGCCACCTCCTCAGCCCCTCCTGTCGGCACTTTTACCCATTTTATGACTGCACAATCTGTTGCTTGGATGAATCACATTTTGTTTGGCCATTCATTCGCCAGTGGGCATTTGGGTCGTTTTAAGTTTTATCCATTTATTTTGTTGTTGTTCTTAATGGAGCTGCCAGGACCATGGGTGTCCAAGTTTTTGCCTGAGCAGCGCCCTCGGTTTTCTGAGGGTGTACACCTAGGAGTGGACCTGCCGGGTCACGTGGTAGTTCTATGTTTAGCTCTTGAAGAACCACTAAACTGACTCACTTTTATGCTTACGATTTACAAAGTATCTTGATCACCAGTTACACGCAGCAGCCAAATCCCAGTCGGGGCTCTAAACGTTTCTTTTCAGAAACCCTGATTAGAGCAGCCAGGCTCAAGCCGAGCCAAATTTGTTCCAAGGCGAGGCTCCACTCAGGACTTTGAACAGCCTCCCTGCTGGACGGCATGTCCCAACAAGAACTTGCCAGGCAGGAATCCCTTCCTGCCTCCTGGGCATCCTTGCTTTCCTATTATGCTGTGCACACTTCAGGAAAACGAAGATGCTTCGTCTAACATACGAATTTCTCTCCTTTGCTTCTGTTAAAGAATTCAGATTAGAACATGGAGGTAACGCAGGCCCTTTTGTACCTACCTGTCCTGAGTAGAAACTAGCTTTTCATGGCCCCGGGACAGGACATCCCTAACAGTAGTCAAGGGTATACAGCGATCATCCATCCATCCACGACAGACTTTGGTCACAAATCAGGGTTGATCTTAGCAATCCACAGATGCTGTGGATGTGAGCTCAGCCCACTCTGCAGACCATTTACTCTGTGGGCTCAGGTCCACTCCTGGTATCAGTGGGTGTCAGAGGAGACAATTCCACTCCAGGTATTGTTTACTGCAGTCAGGGTAGTGAGTCATGAGCTTCTCAGTCATTGGCCCAAACAGACAGTCACTGATCGACTGACTTACAGTGCTGGTTTTTAAAATTTAAACTTGTGCACGTCATGGTGTTGACCTCTTACCTCAGCTCCCTAACACACAAGAAGTTCCCTAGTTGCACACGAGCCAGGACCCAGGAGCAAAACCAGACAGGCATCAACAGCCTTTCCCCTTTGAAACTGAAAAGAATGAAGAAGTTGGCTTCTGAAGTCCTTGCTACACAGTCAACTCAGCTGTCACTTGTCACGTTTTCCCCGGGAGTCTTTTCAGGTGTTCTGGCCTGATCTGCTGGTTAAAAAAAAAAAAAAAAGTTTCTCATCTGTCATATCCTCTGTAATCTGGCAGGAAACCTAAAATGTGCCTGCTGCAGTCCTAGGCTGCACGCTTATCTGCTTCCTTGGGAAGAATGTGCATCATAGTGTCCGGTTTAGGGGGATTTTCAACATGACCTCACCCTCTCCTCCATCTACTGATCTCAGCAGGCATTACCCAAGTCACAAATGCAACTCGTATGGGAATCCATCCACATTAGTGAGCCAGCCGCCGGCGACCTTCCTGGCACATCTCACAAAAACATTAACCCCAACTCCCTTCAAACAGTACCCTGAGCTCCTAGGGACAGGTGTTGATCAATAACCACATCTGACATTTACTTATCCTTCTAGATTCGGGATGGTTAGAATGGCAAGGGGCGGGGGTGGGTGGGAGGAGGTCGCTGCTAATTAAATGCAGGAGCTTGAAGTAAAGCCCTTGCCTGCCCGTAATACCACGAGTGGACAGGGAGGTTGAGACAAGACGACTGTCACAAATTTAAGTCAACCTGAGCAGCAGGGATATTGTCTCAAGAGTTTAAAAAAAAAAAAAAAGGCAAAATGTAACGGAGGAAGGTTTGCACTGGTCGGTGCGGGGATGTCCCAGCCAATGGTCTCAAAATAGGTCGAGTGGAGGTGACAGCAAGCGGCGGGCGAGTAACGATGGGAAAGGGCAGTGAGATGAGGATGCCCTAACGGTAAGGGCTCCGATGGGCTTTGCTTACTCGCCTCCGGGCTCCGGGAAGCGGCGGCAACTAAAGGGAAACAGAAACTCTGGATCCGCAGGCGCGCGCTCCCGGCCCGGCCCACGTGACCCCGGGCTCCGCCGCTCTCCGCGCGCGCTCCGGGCCGCAGCCTGCACAGCGAGCGCGTGACTCCCGCCGCGCCTCCCTCTCCCACCTCCGCGCTGCGTGCCTGCGTGCGCGTACCCGGCGGGCAGCGGGCGCGCGCACGCCCAGAGGGCCGCCGCCCCTCCCCGGGCCCGCCCTCCTTCCCTCCCACCCTCCCCCGGCCGGCGCGGCCCGCCCTGGCGAGTCAGTCGTCGGGTTCCCTCCCTCCCCGGGCGCGCTCGGGCCGCCGCTGCGCTCCCCGCCCTCCAGCCGCCCTGCCGGAGCCGCCCGCTGCCGGAGGAGGAGGTGGAGGAGCCGCAGGGGCCCGCCGAGGCGGCGGCGGCGGCAAGATGGCGGACTTCCTGCCGTCGCGCTCCGTGCTGTCCGTGTGCTTCCCGGGCTGCGTGCTGACGAACGGCGAGGCCGAGCAGCAGCGCAAGTCCAAGGAGATCGACAAATGCCTGTCGCGGGAGAAGACCTACGTGAAGCGGCTAGTGAAGATCCTGCTGCTGGGCGCGGGCGAGAGCGGCAAGTCCACCTTCCTGAAGCAGATGCGGATCATCCACGGCCAGGACTTCGACCAGCGCGCGCGCGAGGAATTCCGCCCCACCATCTACAGCAACGTGATCAAAGGTGCGGGGCGCGGCGGGGCTCGGGGACCCCTGGGGAGCCGGGCCGGGCACCGCCCTCACCCTCCGGTCCCAAGTCTGAGGAGACCGAACCCGACCAGATCGCATGGGCGATCGGGTGGGCGCGCCTTGGACACCGTCCTGTGCTCCCTGGTGCCCTGATCCCTTCGATCTGGGACGCCCCGCTGTGCCCCCGTGCTACCCCGGTGAGGGTCACGGTCGGCCCCGCACTCCGCGGCTGGCCTCGCCCCCTCCGAGAGGGAAGTGCGGCAAGCGCGGTGACTAGGGACAGCGGGGCAACTAGTGTCCTCCCTGCACTCCAGGCAAGATCACCCACCAGTAGCCCCAGGTCCTACACCCCCTATCCTTCTTCCCTTATGTGCCCGTCCCTGGTGGGTGACCCTAGTAACCAAGTCTGTTACCCTTACAGCTCTGGGCTTTCTAGGCCACCTCTTGACTTAAGCAAGTTCTGGAACGGTTGTAATGAGGAAACTTTTTTTTTTTTTTTAACCCTGAGACTCTTGTCAAGGACATAGAGTGACAGCCTCCAGAGCCTTTTGGGGCAAGAATATGAAACTCGCCTTTAGTGGCATCAGGAAAGTCTATTAAAAAAAATAGCGCGAGTGGTTTTATCGGCTCGTTGCTACAGGATGTTTGTAATCACAGTTCAACATGTTGCACACTTTTTTTTTTTTTTTTTTGCTTAATAACTCAGGACAGGAGAAAAACAGCATCATTTCTAATGCTTAAATGAATTTATGTTTAAGTATAAAGACCCTTTGGCTTAAAAGTCATAGGAGACCGTCCAAGAGAAGTTAGAGGCAGGGGACTATGTGTTGTGTTGGATGGTGGGCTTTACAAATCCTGTTGGACAGTATTTTAAGTACTTTTCCTAAGTGAAAACCACCCAAAGGCTTTATTCCTTAGTGTTCAAATAAGTTTGGAGGTGACTTTTATTTTTGTCGTTTAAAAGAATCACTTTTATTTTTTTGTCTTTACTGTCAAGTATTTTCTACATGAGAGAAGTTGGCAGAAGCGGCACAGCAGCTGATTTCAAAGTGGTTCAGGAGTTAGGGCTTGGAAGCAAACTTTAAGATTGTAGGTCTTTTCAAGGAGTTGTGTGACTTTTTTTTTTTAAGCGTGTTTTTTTGTTGTTGTTCAAGAAGTACATAAGCAAACTCCCTCATGGGTCCCGTCCTCCTCTCTGCAGTGTTTCAAGTAGGGAAAAACTAGAGAAGATGCTGTGCCCGGCAGTGAGGGGAGAGGGCGAGGCCAGGAGCTCACAGTCCATGGCTTGCCCTTACCCTTGTACCTTTGCAGTTAAGCTGAAAAGGATGATTATGTTTAGTCTGCCTTAATGTTCAGCACAGAACTAATTAAAGTCTCCTTGGAAGCTGTAAACCGTACCTTGCCAGACCTTAATTGAAGGTACCTTTGTATTCTGATACAGTTGAACTTAAAGCATTATGTTAATGAACAGACTCTCGTAGTCACTGGTGAGGTAAATCACCTGTCTTTCCATACACACTGGGCCTAAGAATTACTTTGAGCATTATTGTGTGATCAAGTTTAAGTCTAACTAGGCATCTTATCTTCTTCAATTGGCATGGTCAGAAAAATGAAAACATAACAATTTTTTCGAGTATCCAAAGAAATGACTTCCCGATGACAGAAGGAACAGTTTAGCCAGGGGAGCGTGGAGTTTGAGCTAACCTCTGTAAGTTGAAGCCTCGGTCTTGGATGGTCGGGTTTCCTTTTAGGTGACTAAAGCCAGTGTGGGACTGCACTGATTTGAAGCTTGGTCTGGGGAAGCGATGAGGTTAAGTGCGTCCTAGAAGACAGTGTTGGTAAGGAGCTGAAGGACTATGACTGCACACAGTAAACCGTCCTTAGCGCGGCCAGGCTGGCTTTAGCCTGGCTTCAGGCTAGGCAACATTATTTATTTTCTTCTGTCTCTGGTTTTGACTGCCATCTACTCCAGAAATGATTTTTATGAATCGTAGCGTATTAAAATCCTTCCCAAAGTGATTTTGTTATTAACATTTACTTTTCCAAGACTTCTGGTCTTGAGACAGTGAACACTTGTTTTTTAAAACCCTGAGAAGATGAAGGTTTTGTTTTGATTCTGGTCTCCATTTTAGAAGTGAGGCTTCTCTAATAGCTAAAAATTAAGGAACCAATACTGGATAACCCTGAGGCCAAAGCTTCTGATGGTATCTTCATGACTCTTCCAAACACAGTTGTTTTTTTTTTTTTCTTTTAAACAAAGGTATGAGGGTGCTGGTAGATGCCCGAGAGAAACTTCATATTCCCTGGGGAGACAACAAAAACCAGCTCCACGGAGACAAGTTGATGGCCTTTGATACCCGCGCCCCCATGGCTGCCCAGGGGATGGTGGAGACCCGAGTATTTTTGCAGTATCTTCCTGCTATCAGAGCCTTATGGGAGGACAGCGGCATACAGAACGCCTATGATCGGCGCCGGGAATTCCAGCTGGTAAGACATTCGCTTCTCCAAAACGTGGTTTTATTTATATATTTTTATTTATATGCCTTTTCATTTATGTGTGTGTGTGTGTGTGTGTGTGTGTGTGGGCACATGCATGCAGCACATGTGCAAACATCAGAGGACAGCTTGTGGGAGTCGGTTCCCCTCTAGCATGTGGGTTCTGGGCATTAAACTCAGGTCCTCAGGCTTGGTGGCAAGTGTTTTACCTGCTGAGCCACCCTAGCCCTGAAGGGTGCTTTTATTTAAGGACATTTAGCAATGTCTGGTTTAGCACAGTGTAAAGTATCGATTCAAAACTGTAACCTCGGATACTTGGTTTGCTGTGTGTACCTTTTTCTAAGCAAGGTTAAAAAATAAGGTCAACTCTATAGATGTAATAAAGCCATTTTACTGGTTAGAAAGTAAGGTCGTAATGACTTTTCCCTGGTCATTCTAATTTTGTTCTCTTTAAAAAATATATTTTTCTTACAACTATAGCAGCCATGTTCCTGTAGTGATGGCCTTTGACTCTTTAGAATGGAAGTCGGGTGCATGAGAGTGATTGTTCATACATGCCAGTTAGCCTTTGAGCCACTTACTCAGTGACACAGATGAGTTTGCTATAGAGAGAAACTTTTTTTTTCTTTCTATGTAGACCAGGCTAGCCTTAAACTTACAGTAACCCTCCTTTCTCTCCCTCCTATGTGCTGAGATTATAGACACGAGTTCCCCTGTGGCTAGCTGAGAGACTGAACTCTTTATAAGAAACACAGTACTATTTTGTGCTCTTGCTCCACATGGAAAATAATTTTCATTTGTTTCCCTCCTTTATCTTAAGAAAGATTCTAAGATACTTTGTAGCTGTTACACACCATTGAAGAAAGAGTAGGAAAGTGGGATGGAGCCCAGGGTTAAAGATATAAACATGACCTGGTCGGTGGTGGCTCATGCCTGTAACCTTAGCTCCTTGAAAACCAGAAGCAGAAGGATCACAGGTTCCGGGCCAGCCTGGGTGACACAGCAAGGCCCTGACTTAAAAAACAGATATGAAAACAAGAATTGAGATGGACTTTTTAATCAAATGTTTGATAATTTCATTGTGAGCACTTTGATTGTATTTGGTTCTTTTTGCCGAAGACCAGAAAGGGTCCATCAGCAGTAGCAGTGCGGCTGTTTGCAGTTCAGAGATAGTTCAGATCCGAAGCGCTTGCCTGTGATATAATTGAAGTAGAGCGACAGTTAAAAGTAAAACTGCTTAGGAAATTGTTTGGTGATGTCACAAACATTCAAGGGATCCTCATGGGTGTGGCTAGACAGAGGTGTACAGCCACCAGCCTTCCTTGGTGCAGTCTGCCTCCAGGATTATTAGTCTAGGCTGTTAGAATAGAAAAGTTACAAGAAAGGTTTATGATCTCTTCTTTGCTAAACCCATGTCTTATGTTCCTTAGTGTATCATACATTATGTGCTGGCTGGTACAGCTCATGTATGTATGTATGTATGTATGTATATGTGTGTGTGTGTGTGTGTGTGTGTGTGTGTGTGTGTATATATATATATATATATATATATATATATATATATCATGTCAAATTCCCATATTGGGTGTCTGGCAGCTCTGCATATCAGAAAGTGTGAATTTAACTTGATCAATGACACGGAGTCACCAGATGTCTGGCTAGCTTTGACCTTTGTCCCTGTCGTCATTGTATTCTCTGTGGACTCGCTCGCTCTCCACCTATCCCCTTCCCTTGCTTTCCTCTCCTGTCTCCTGTTTAAGGGCAGCTTCTTAGCCTTCTTGGTTTCTTTTCTCAGTAGACACACTTTCCACTGTTTTCTCAGATGTTTATCTTCCGAGGCCAGGGAGAAAACAGCTAGCTCCACAGTAAGCAGTCACTACACCCTGGATGGATAAAGGAACAGCCGTGGACCTGACAGTTCCCTTTGGGAAAGAAACTTCTCTGTTTGTTTCAAGCCTACTTACTTGAAGTTTGGATGCCACGGACAGATGTTTAGTCTTTGAATTCATATCTTAGTCTCATATTAAGGTCTGTGTGGCAAGGGAGCAGTTTTGTTTTTTTTTTTAAAGATTTATTTATTTATTTCATATTGTGAGTACACCATCGCTCTCTTCAGACACACCAGAAGAGGGCACCGGATCCCATTGCAGATGGTTGTGAACCATCATGTGGTTGCTGGGAATTGAACTCAGGACCTCTGGAAGAACAGTCAGTGCTCTTAACTTCTGAGCCATCTCTCCAGCCCCTTGTGTATATATGTTTTATTCAAGAATAAACAGACCCACTCAGGAGAAAGGCCTGTGTTCTTGACTTGAGTCAGCTAATGTTTCAGTAGAAGAATGCTATCGACTCCAGGGAAAGGCAGGTTCCAGAAATACCTTTTTCCTCTGATAAAAAAGTAGAAGCACAAGACGAGAATAAAGCTGAAATCTGCTTGTAAACCAGAGCAAGGATTGTCCTACCCTGAGAGTGTTCAGCACCGTCTGCAGTGCCGGGCTATGCTGGGTACTTGACTGTTTTTGAATGGGCAGTAGTGTTGGCACTGAGAAAGCACATTGCTTGTTTAAACTCTCCCTTGAAGTCACTGTCAGCGCCTTCTCCTCATAGAACGGAACCCAGGTGCTGCCTTCTCTTCTGTAAGGTTTGGAGTGCTCGTTCCCTTCGTTCATTGTCTCTCATAAACTTCAGAAGTAGTCTCACTGAAAAAGCATGGAATTACTCAGAGAGCTCTGATGGTTTCCTCTGCCTGGAGAACGAGTGAACATACCTCTTGTTGTTGGTAAAGGCTCCAGTCTGCTTACCCATGATTTCAACAGTGTAATTGATAGGCAGCTGCACAAAGCCTATAACCTCTTAATTCCCGTGTGGCCTGACTTTCCACTTCCCTAGCTCTCTTTATATAGTTCTTCTGCCATGGTTTTTCTGGGCTACATGTGTCCATTAGATCTTTCTGTATTTGGAGCAATGAATATTGTATTATATTGTTTGTATGTATGTATGTATGTATGTATGTATGTATTTTGGCTTTTTTTTGTTTTTAAAGATTTTATTTATTGTTTATATAAGTACACTATAGCTGTCTTCAGACACACCAGAAGAGGGCATCAGATCCCATTACAGATGGTTGTGAGCCACCATGTGGTTGCTAGGAATTGAACTCAGGACCTCTGGAAAAGCAGTCAGTGCTCTTAACCGCTGAGCCATCTCTCCAGCCCCCTAGGCTTTTTTTTTTTTTTTTTCTTCTTTAATGTATGTTTTTTTGCCTGCATGTAGGCTTAGTGACCATGGATGTCATAAGATATTAGATTTCCTAGAAATGAATGTATGAATGTTTGTGACCCTCCACACTCAAGCTGTGACATGTGCTCCTCTCCTCAGTGATTAAATACTTTTAAAAGTTTCCTATCAACCTGTGGTTGATTATATTAGACTTCATGGAAATCGAAATGAGAAAAACAGCATTTTTAGAGAGCCTGTCACATCTTACATTTGGCTGAAGATGAGTGAGTGCCCTTGGTTTTCAGACAGAGATGATGGAAGTGATTGCGTTTGCTAGCTGTAATTTTGGGTGCTAATAGGATGTTTCTCAAAATTCTTCATGTCAGACATTTCCCTTCTGCTTAGTTTCTGTTGTGGGAAACTAGCTAGCTTATGTGGAAGAGAAAACCCTCAGCTTCACCTTGTCCGGATGTCATGCGGCTTTCTGGCTGTAGCTGGCACATGCAGGTGATCTGGAAGGAGTGGTCCTTTAGCTCCGTGTACTTGACCTTGGCATCAGTCATGGAAGCCTACCACTGTGCTTGTAAGACATGTTGTCCCTTGTAAAGCTTCTCAGCTGAGGGTGGCGAGGACATTCGGTAATGTGGCTCACTGTCTAGGTGAGGCTGGCTGGGTGGAGGACTGGCTGGGTATGATACAGCTGGCGACAGTCAGACTAACCAGTGCCTGGGAGTCACCGCCTACCAGTCTCGCAGTTCAGTTTACAGTTAGAGTTGAGCAGTATAAGCAACACTGGCCACAGAGGACAGGACAGGGTGTGTGACAGTGGGAGGAACAGGGGACAGCTTCCTAGTTTCTGTAAACAGTTTAACTTTGTCAGCATTAGTACAGTTTCCTGTAATGGCCGGTCTGCCTGTGCAGCTCTTGAAACCAAAACCAGTCTCCTTGTTAATCATTCATTGTCCTTCAGTGGGACTTGAGTTTTCTTGCTCAGATGGTATAGTTTGTGCTTGGTGATAGCTTCAGTTCTCTAAGCTGTTATGGTTATTGGTGAGGACAGATTCTTCTGCAATCTGTGTAGCAAAGTAACTGTTTTGCTTGATGAGTGGTCTGTAAAAAAGAGCTGAGTCTCAACTAAGTAAAACTAGAATCTTCTGTTCTAGTTTGTAAAATGTTTTCATCTGTACTGCAGCACATACTGGGAATAGAATACCATCTGAGTCTTTTGGATTTGCTTTAAAAGATGATTAAAGGCCAGGCATTGAAGAATTCTCCTGTTTAATCACTGCACTCATAAGGCTGAGGCAGGAGGATCTTGGATTGGAAAGTAGCCTGGGCTGCATAGGGACTTCAAGGGTTGTATTGGAGACCCTGAACATAGCCAGAGGGAGAGAGCCCGTAACCCTAGGGGCTATACTTTTAAAGGGTAGTGAGTACCTTTTGTATCTCCTTTGAGGGCAGACTTTCTGGTACGGAATTGGTGCTGCTGCTAACGGGTTTATTAAATAAGAAAGTAATTGAGCAGGGATGTAGTCTCCTGAGGATTGGGCTTTAGTTTCAGGATTCTACTTCGTGTGTGGACCTATCCCAGGGCAAAAATTTATGAACTCACTATAAAGAGAACAGAAGCCCAAGCACTTCCTGGATGGACTGTTCCCGTTCTCCTTTTGCAAACAGACCTAAGCTGAAACAAGTCTGGAGTCTGTTAACTTCCTAGAGAGTTAACTGACAGTGCGGATAACTGTAATTCCTGTTTAGTACCTTAATGTTTG